AAGGGATAACTCTTTTGCTGGTTTTGTTTTTCTGAGACAGGGTTTCTCTCTGTCACTCTGGCTGTCCTGGAATCTCTGTAGACCACACTGGCCTCAAACTCAGAGATCTGTCTGCTTCTGCCTCCTGAGTGCTGGGGTTAAAGGTGTGTGCCACAACTGCCTAGTTTAAGGACTAGCCTTTTTAATGTCTGGACATTATTCCATTGGGTACATGAAGTACCTTTATGTTGTGTGACATCATGCAATGAACCTGGGAGTGTAGGCTTATCATCAACATACAGCTTTCATTTCATAAAGCACAGCGGCTCTGCTTCTCTCTTCCCTCCAGGACCTGCTTCATCACCCATCACTGGGCACAGCACGGAGCTCCTCCCGGCTCCACTCCCTGGGTTTGCTCTCCCGTCTTCATCTGTCTTCTTTCTCTCTCAAGCCATAGAGGCACAGACAAAATGCACCTTATCCAGGTTCTCAGGCCTCAGTTTTACCTCCCTGGAAGGGAGCTATTGAATTTTACCATCTTTTAATTCTTTGGGGAGGCGAATAGCCTTCTGAATACTGGGTTTATGCTCAGCTTCAACCATTTTAAACCTTGTGTCCAGTAGTGTGAGCATCTTCACTCTGTTGGGAGACAGCGCTCCAGAATGTTTTATTTTGCTCACCTAGTGCGCAAACACATCAGACAGAGCGTTTCTCAACCCCTGTCCTGGAAAGGACATCCCATGGATCTCTGCGGCATAGACCGTCTGTGACTGACTTGTGTCACTCATCTCAGCGGGTGTCAGGGCATCCTTCCTAACACACAGGTGACTGCTGTTCTGTGCTGGGGAATCCAGGCTGCTTCTGCCTCCAGCTGCTGTGGCGGAGGTGTGAAAATTCCTCTTTGAGCTCTGCCTCCCCTATTGGGGGGATGTTTACCCATAAACTGGGTCACACCACGTCCTTTACTTTAAAATTTCTAGAGGGTGTCACTTTTCCATGGTGACAGCACCGTTGTATGTCCGCACCAGCTTGCGCAAAGCTCTGGTTTCTCTACACCCTCACCAGCATCTGTTATTTTTTTTGGTTTTGCTTTTTGTCAAATTTGCGATACATTTATTTATTTGTACACGAGGACACATGTGTCATGGCATGCCTGCGGATGTCACAGAACAACTTGTAAGAGTCAATTCTGTCCTCCACCATGTTGGTCCTAGGGGTGGGACCTGGGTTCTCAGGCTTGGCAGCAGGCACCTTTACCTTTACCCACTGATTCATTGTTTTGGCCCTGTTTTTTTTTTAAATAAGAAAAAATATTGTTTTATGCTTTTTGTATCTCAAGACAGTGTTTCTCTGAGTAGCCCTGACTGTCCTGGAGTTTACTCTATAGACCAGGCTGGCGCCAAACTCAGAGAGCCCTCTGCCTCTGCCTCCCAAGTGCTGGGATTAAAGGCGTGTGCCATCACCACCCTGCTGAAAGAGTTGGGTTTTCAGTTGTGGATATACACGAGTGTCTGTATGCACGAAGCTCACCTGATCACCTATGTGGGCCTTACTTGCAGATGCTCTGAGTCTCCGTCACTGCGACAGTGCCACACTGTTCCCGCTGCAGTGGCCTAGCTGCTGTCTGTTTGGGGAGGAAAAAGAGTGAATCCCCCAATTTTGTCAGTTTTCAAAACTGATTTGGCTCTTAGGGTTGAGAGTCCGTATAAGTTTTAAGAGGTTGTTTGCTGTCTCTGTAACTTAATAAATATCAGTGGGACTCTGCCAGGGCTGTGTGGCCTCTGTGACTGCTTTGGGTTCTTCGAGCATCTTAGTAATACGTCTCCCAACCCCTACACACAGGATGTCTCTGAATTTGTTTGTTGTCTTAAAATCCTTTCACCTCTTGGTTGGGATTATCCCTACATCTGAGTGCTGGCATGAAGGAAATTGCTCTGATTTCCTCTCTGATTTTGTTTTTGAACTTTTGAGATGCTCCCATGAAGTCCAGCTGCCCTTAAGCTTCCTATGTAACTGGGGAGGTTTTGAACTGCTCAATCCTCCTGTCTCCACCTCCCAGTCTCTGGGATGGCAGGGGAAAGTCACCATTTCTGGCTGAGTTTCTGTATCTGGGTTGTTCATTGCTAGCTTGTAGAGACAGACGACTTTATGTGTTGGTTTTGTGTCTCGAAACTGCTGGATTTGTGTGTTGTGGGCTCTGGAGAGTGAGAAAGGGGGTTTTTAACAAAACCTGGTTCAAGGCCCTTCCTGCCAACCTTGCACGATTCTGGCACTATCCATTGTCAACAGCATCTTTCAGGGAGCTCTGCCTCCTCTTAAGCTTTCTTTATTTTGTACTTTTAGTGGTCCTGGGAATCAGACCTAGGGCCTTTCCCATGCCCTATCCCTGAGCTGTATCCTCAGCCCTCTTGGGAGCCTTTTGAAGTCACCTGAACCAGTGTATTGTTGTTTCCCAGAGACTGGGTTTCCTGAATGAACACAGTATTTTCCGTTTCTGTCCATTTTCCTCAACAATTCATAATTTTTTTTCTTTGATAAATAGAAGTCTACTGTGTGCATTTACTGTCCATTCATCCAGTGATGGGCATCTAGGCTGGTTCTGTTTCCTTGCAAGTGTGACTTGAGCAGCAATGGGTATGGTTGTGCAAGTGCCCGAGGCAGCATCTGATGGCAGGTGAATATATATCAGGCCTGGAGCTTTCTGTAATCCTGATGCTCAGGAACCCTGTCCGAAGCATGTGCCTTAGGTAGAGCACTGAGCCTGAGCCCTCGAGGTGGCCAGGAGATGCCTGACCCATAGAAGTGGGAATAATGAGTTCCTGATATCTTTGTTCTCAGCCTTGTCCCATCCTTGTGTGTCAATACTGGGAAGAAATGAGACCCGCCTTTAACTCTACTGTTTCTAGGGGGAAAAAATGTAAGGCACACAGGTAGCCAGGATCTACGAACCTGGAAAGCGTGTGGATGTCTCCAAATTCTTACCTTGCCAGGAGGAAGAAGAACCTACTGTCCCCTCTCAGGAGTTCTTGGCACCTGCCATAGGACACATTGGTATGCAGTAGATACCCAGAAGTGGCCATCTTGTATCCCGCTGAGGTCAGAAGGCCTCAAGCACCGCTGGACATCACCCCACCTGTGTGCGTGGTTGGGTGAGGAGTGTCTGAACCTGGAGGCAGGGTTGGGTGCACTTTAAAAATGACTTTCCCTGCTTCGAAATGAAGCTGGCTTTGAGCCCCAAGCTCCTTCGGGGGCTGTCTAAAATTAGCACCCTGGTGACAAGGCAGTCTTTGTCAGGGGCCTGCAGCTTGCACTGGGAAGCAGGGAAATGTCAACAGCACAGTTTCTGCATCAGTTTGGGTTTTTTCACATGGCCAGGCAAGTGGTGCCGCTTCAAAGGCGTTTAGGATCCAGGTTTGTGATGGCTGTGTGATTAGACTGTTGGGTTCAAAAGGTGCTAGCTTTGTGGTCAGACAGCAGGGTCGCTCCCTCCCCCACCCAGCATGGATTGGGCAGCATAGGCCCGGCCACCAGCCTCTTTGTTTCTGAGGTGTTTTCAGGCCCCCATATTGCACAGATGAGCTGAATAGTGAGGTTGGACTGCACCCTTGGGAACATCCACTCACACATCCCGAAGAACTTGCCCGAAGACTGGGGAGGTGGGCGTCAGTTGTTGGGTGTGTTGGCTATGGCTGGGCACCTAAGCCAAATGTCTAGAAAGATTGCATCTTCTGGGAAAGGTAGCCTTCGTATTGGCTGTGTGGGTCTGGACCCCAGACCCAGACCAAGCCGAGCTCTCCCCATCCCCACTGGGCCTCAGTGCCCTTCTTGCATGGCTGTGATTGGGGGGGGGTGTGGAGTTCTCAGCTTAGGGGCAGCAGATAAATGATGCCATCATTCATGTGTTTGTGAGCCGCAGTTTCGGGAACCCGCAGTGCTCATCTGTGTGGCTTCTGGAATG